AAACCCCTAAACCCCTAACCCTAAACCCCAAACCTTAAACCCCAAACCCCCAACCCTAAACCCCAAACCCTAAACCCTAAATCCCTCAACCCTAATCCCTAATCCCTAAATCCTAAATCCTAATCCCTAAGCCCTAAAGCGACTGAAATGTTCTCAGGGTTCGGCCCACAGCTCATCCCCTTGAGCCGCGATGAGATGTCCTGGAAAGTATGTTTCAGGATTCAGGTTCAGGGTATTAGGGTTTTGGGATTTTAGGGTTTTAGGATTTTAGGGTTTTGGGATTTTAGTGTTTTAGGATTTTAGGGTTTAAGGGTTTTAGGGTTTAGGGTTTAGGGTTCAGGGTTTTAGGGTTTAGGGTTTGGTGTTTAGGGTGTGGGGTTTTAGGGTTTAGGGTTTAAGGTTTAGGGTTCTAGGGTTTTAAGCTCTATGGTTTCGTGTTTGGGACCAACTACAGTAGGGCTGTTTCCAATGGGGGTAGATTATGCAAGGGTTTTTTAAGGGGTATAGGGACCGGGGGAGTTATATGATGGGGATATAGAGCCACTGTAAGGTCCCTACATGGTAATTCCCCTCCTGTAATAGCCTCAGATGGAAATTATGTTCCAGGATTCAGGTTCAGGGCCTTGAGGGCTAAGGCTTAGGGGTTTGGGCTGGGGTGTTCCAAGGGACCCTAGGGACGTATGCCGATTATAGGGAGATGACGGCGGTCCTTAATTTGTTGGGATTTAAGGATGTATTTGAGAAACCATCTATAGGGGTTGACTTTAAGGTCCTTTGGGGAACTTATGTAGGGATTCGAAAATGCAGGGGAAGCTCATAATGGCCATATTTTTGCAAGACTTGGGATCAACCACAGGGTAGGGTCTAGAGATTAGGGTTGGCGCGCTGGGGGCTAGGGTTTGGAGCTTGGGAATAAGTAGGATATAAAAAGCCTTGTACCCAGACTAACCTTAAATCGAGCACTTGTAACCATGTCGTAGCCGCGCCCACTTAATTACTACGTCCCTAAACGCGGGTGTGGGAATTGGATTCCAGTTTGGATTCACGGTCTGATTTTCTTGTTTAACGGGCTCTTTTCCACTCGCCGAATGTGTGTGAGGCGAAAGTTACTGGAGGTTTAAGGATTACCCAGACCTGCCTATCATTGAAAAAAAATTGCTTCCTAAATCGTGAGGACACTGGATACGCTACCAGGGAGGAGGGTCTGCGACAGCATCCCTACTACATGCATTCTCTGGAGAATCCAAATACCCAACTTGTTAGACTTCAGGTCCCGAAATACAAGATTTGAATGATATTTACTACGCACCTGAGGCCCCAATATTTGGGTCTGGGGACCGTGTCTGCTAAAACCTACAACCTAAATCCTGACAGGCGCGCCCTACATCCTAATCCCTATACCCTAAACGCACTAGGTTTCAGAGTTAAACGGTTTGAATTTTAGGGTTTTGTTCTAGCTTCCATGGCGCTAAACCCTGCATCTTGCAACCTAAGCCCTCAACCGTTTGTCCTTGCCGACCCACCGGAGCTGCTCCAGCACGCCAGACACGGCCCCAGCACGCGACTGACAAGAAAGATTTGTGGGAGTTTTGTTTGACAGAGTTGAACTGATGAGGAAGGCCAGAAAGAACATGTTCCATTCTGTAGAATGCACTTGGTACCATGATAGTCATAGCCTGTAGTGTTGCGGCGACCCCTGAATAAGGTGTGGTCTTTCTTTAGGATAAATTTATCTTTATCTTTCGTGAAGATGATTGTGAACGGGGACGGGGGGTTGCTGGCGAATGAACATTCCCAAGCTGAGGAGGAAGTGGCATGTGTACAAGTCGACCCCCTGACTTTTTGAGGGTATATGGTCTTGAAAAACAGCCACTTTGAAGGCTTTAGTGACGCTTGAGTTAAATCAGGCTTTACCAGTGTACATGATCATGCGGTGGTATAGACGGAGGGATCGTCATAGGCCCTGGCCGTAAATCCTGCAGTCATGTAAGGTTTCTCTCACAACAACATTACGACCCTTGAATCCTAAGCCCTGAACCTCAAGTCCTAAACTCTGTCGAGAGGTTTTATGCTGCAGACAAGAACCAGGTAGGGGAAGCCCCTGGAAAATGAAGCCTTCAACAACAAGGCGACGTCCTGACTTCTTCGAAACCCCACCGACATGTAGGGATAGAGAGGCGTCCCTCATAAGCCTCATTTGGAGCTACAATGAGACACTTCCATAGGACTCTGAAGACGTCCAAAAGCATACGCTTCGCGCCCCAAACCCTAAGTCCTAAACCCTAAACCCCTAATCCCCTAACCCCTAACCCAACACCCCAGACCCTAATTCCTACCCAAACCCCCTAACCCCTGAACCCTAAGCCCAAATTCCTAAACCCTAAAAGGCACCAGGAGAGCTAGTTCTGCCTTGATGATGGTGTAGTGGTCATAGACCATGGCAACCTGTGGAGCCAGGTTATTTTGGAGCTTTAGGGCTTTGAGACTTGAGATTAGGGTTTAGGGTTAAGGATTTATAGGGTTTAGGGCTTACAGATTTAGGGTTTAAAGGACATGATCCCTAATAATGGAGAATCAACTGGAAAAACTTGGAAAATGAAATGCAAAGTGCGGACTATCTAGCGGTTATGTATAGCGATTGCGTAAGGTAGAGACTGAAGCAGATACTAATGTAATGTTGAGGTCTGCTTGAGGTAGTCTACACCCTGCTTATACAGGGCATCTAAGACCACAATGTACCCGTCGAGGCGTCTGAAGGAAACATCTAGGCTCTTATGCAGGGGTCTGAGATTATGAGCTCCGCAACTTATATAATTAGTAATTAGTATTGCAGCCCAAATTAGATGACAACCTTTGACCTTCATAGCCTCATAGCTTCTCTGAAGGCCCTCTATAGGCTTGAATGCAGGCAAGATGCCAAAAGGTTCAGCGTGATGATGAGCATCGACACAAAGAACGCGCCGTACCATACCTCCCCGAACAGTCTACTCGTCCGCGCATCGTAGCGTCTACAAAGTCGCTACGGCCGTCGCTTTTAAATTCGGCGGAATTGCATACACAACGCTTGCGTATTTGGACCTGTTGCAGGATTGCTGCAAAGTAAGTTCTTGGGTCACACTTCAGCTCTCCACGCTACAAACTCTGAACTCCAGTAGATGCACTGAATATTTTGGATTCCTGCACAACTTGCTGATGCTTCAGGAAAAGGGCGTGAGGGAATATAGGTATCATCATGATAGGCAGGCGTGTAAGGACTATTATCGCGATCCACACCTCAACCCCTCATTGTGGAGCAGTGAGTCAGCGAGGGTTCTTTCGATGGGGCATGTAAGCAGATCGTATGGTGGTGGAACCCAGTAAGATTACATATATTTACCCCCAAACGCTAAAACCAAAAACCCTAAAATCCTAAAACCCCAAACCCTGTAACCCCAAATCCTATATCCCATAGAAGATTCACAAGGATGCCGTGAAAATACTCTGCACTATAGGGACTACAGTCAAACAAAAAGCTTGTGATGTGGCGGCCTTTACCGGAATACAGCGTTGTCGCCTTTGGACTGCTAGCATCATACGAGGCCGCATAAACATAAATGTATACACATATACCCAGAGGGTCCAAGTACCTAATAATTAGGTACTTGGGTTTTGGGTAATAGGGATTATAGTACAGGCTTTGGGTAAGTATATGATTATTAGGTACTTGGACCCTTAGGGATATGTACATGTACCAAATATGTAAAAAAAAATCATGCGCTTGTGGGATACGTCGGAGTGATGCGAGGCATCCCCGCCCCACATGTTAGCGTGGTGCCTGTGAAAGACGCTATGCTGGATCAGGATGGGAGACTGAGAAGGCCCTGAACACTAAACCTTAAAACCCTACACCCTGATCCCTGGACCCTAACCCTTAAACCCTGATCCCTACAGTTTAAATTAAACCCTGATCCCTGATCCCCAAACCCTACACCCCCTAGACCCTAAGCCTTAAGCCTCTGGTCCCGAAACCCTAAACCCTGAACCCTAAACCGCATGCGGAGAGAGGAGCTTGTCAAATGAAGTCTACAGCCCCTACTGGCAGGTCCATGTGATATATAGTCCAAACTCCTAGTATCCCGCGTGATAAGCCCTAAACTACTCCCCTATATAATCCCTATGTACCCCACTTTACGGAGTTTAGAGTATCGCTCATGTGACCTTCACAACCAATTATAGCTGGGCTTATAACCATGCTTATAAAGCCGTTTAGGCGGAGTCAGAAGTAGGGCTCTAGGCCCAGTTATGAACAGTTACTAAGTCCTAAGCACACCTTAATTAAAGCCGACATACCTGAATCCACTCTTAGCAGGATTTGAGTCTGACTCTTGCAGTTCTATACTCCAGGCTCTCAGAGTATAGTTCCCCTTAAGTAGATAGGAATATGGAATTACCCAAGACCATAATAAGGTCCCTATATATCCCATATTCTATCTACTTATGGGGGACTATAAACTTTAGCTCTTCAGATTTGAACTCCTGCTCTAAGCTCCGAACTCAAGCTGCCAAGCCTAATCGCCTAAATGGAAGGTTGCCAAAAAGCGGTCCTCGTACCATACAGCTAATAATATTCAGGGTACCCAACAACGGACCATAATTTTGACAATCCCATGTCTGGGAGGTTCATGCGGAGCTATGCGTCTCGGCGGTAGGTATTCCAAACCTGTTTACAGTTACGGTTTTCATGGCGTCTACTTACTTCCGCGCACGAAGTCTCTAAACCCGAAACCAGCAAAGCCCTGGGCACCAA